GGGAGACAGCGCGGCGCGCGAGCCGGGATGACGTAGCGGGACGCCAGGTTTCGCGCGGCACGAATGCCGCTAATTCGTATTTAAAGGTTTATCGGCCCCGCCGCCACACCGCGCGACAATTTCACGGTTCACGGAATCTATCTGACAGCCATTGCCGCCCGCCGCCCCCCTCCCGACCCCGCGCAGGGTCGTCGGAGGCAGCGGCCTTAGCTTCGGCGGATAGAAAACTGCGACCGTGTCGCGTCACCCGGAGCATCGCGCAAGTAATTTAACTGGCAAAGTACTCGGTAATAGTCTCGGGACTACGTAAACAAAGCGGCCGGTTAATTAATCAGCCCCCGGTTTCGAGAGGACGGGGCTCCCCGAATAGATTCCGGATTAATTATCCTCTATTACTTTGAGACTGCTCGTCCAGCGGAACTTCTGTTTAATTATTTCCTTTTTTCCGCCCCGCCCCGAGTAGAAAAGTTGGACAGCTTCGCGTCGAAAAGGCGGCGCCCCTTTGCGGGGGTTGTTTGTAGCCGGAGATAATTTTAATCACCTCACGTGGAATCTCGCGGAGATACCCGCCTTGAGCTCGTTGCGGTTCTTCGCGTCTGTTCGTTCGGGATATCGTTCGAGGGATACGGTGAACACAGTTTACCGCTGTATCGCTTCGTTAGAAGTTTATTGCGTTATCTCGAGGAAGTTTCATACGAGAAATAATCACGTGGTATCGTAAAACTCTGGATGAAATTTCATCGAACGCTACCTTGAAACGCAGCGAACTTCGCCTTTGATATTATTCCGATCGCAAGATGATTCGCTCGTCGTTTCATCAAATTCTCCGTCGAGTTCGTCGAAATCTCAGGCAGCAGTCGGCTCGCAGCGACGCTCGCGGTTAAGTAAACGTGTCGCGGGGCGAGCCGCGAAGAACCGGGGACAAAGGGAAACAGGACTCCCTGCGTCTTCGGGGCTCCCTTAGGTCGCTATGATGTCGTCATTGGCTCGCGTGTTTGTTCAACGTGTGAATGTAAATTACGGGCCCGTTATAACAGGTTGTTGCTTTGCGGGCAAGGACAAGGGAACGCTGGAAGGGTGGATCGAGCAAACGTTTGCGAGCTAAGGAGATTGCCGTGTCGGCGGTGGTGGGGACGAGGTATGTTTGTGCGTGTCTATTGGGAGGGTGGCAGAAGGATCGCGAGTAGCTCTCGGCGTGGGCGGGGAGGGGAAGCGGAATTGTCTGGGGGTCGAAACATCGTTGCCCGGAGGGCTCTCTCGTCCCGATCGAACCCCGGGCGCAAATGGATAAATTACAGCGACCCTGCTGGCCGGGTGACGGCGTCGATCAAAGGTCGCGACCCCTCCGGATTCGATTTTAGGGCAGGTGCGCCCGAACAAAAATAACATTATCCTGCCACATCGGGAGCCGGAGCGAAGAACGATTCCGAGGTTGCTCCTAGGACTTGTTGAGTGTGCGGCTCACGTGTGTCACGTGAGAAACTCCGAGGCACTGCCGGTCGTTTCCTTCCCGGCGGCCCTCCCGCATCTTCGCCGAGACGGCACGGGGAAAATGGGACGCGATAAAAGATTCACGGTGACCCGTACCCAACCGTGGCTTCCGTCCGACGGCAGCGGCGAAGCAACGGGCGGACGTTACGTTTCCGTGCGACTCGCGGCCGAAGCGTAACGATTCCGTTGGAAGTTTCACGAGCGAACACCCGCCGACGGTTTTAATCGCGCGTTCCGCGGAAATTAAGTCGGTGACCGCGCGACGCTCGCGGTTCCGGCACCGCGGGCGTCGAGATCTCCGGCGTGCGGCGATTGGAAGGTTTCGGAGGTGTCTTCGGTTTTCTGAAAGGTAACTTGGTGAAACCGCTGAAGAAGACTTGTGTGAAGGAGTTGTGTTCTGTTGGAATTATAGTTGCAATGGAGATATTTCGAACTTCTGTAGAGATATTTTGAAGGTAATTTATCAAAGGTTCCTTAACCTTAATACCACGTGTTTTCATAACGAATCATACCTCGATGTGACTCTCAGTCACTTA